ACCCGTTGTTTTTTGCCTTGCTTGTTTCAGTCTGGGCAAGCAGCTAAATACACTGTTGAAATATTTGTATGGGAATTGGTATTGTGATCTCCATTCTCCTGCCGCTTTGCACAGCCATCCAGGCAGCCAATCAGAGCCCTCAGATTCATGTTCCCACGCTGCAGGGAGGTGGGCTGTCTTTGCTCAAGCACATGTGCTGTGGAGCACTCTTAAGCACATGTTACAACCTGACTGTACACTATCCATAAGATCTTCTAACAACTATGTAATACAACTGATCGGACACAAATGATAGGAATTGTTTTGTAAATCTAAAGCTTGTATAAACGGGTTGTTGAATGTATGGTGGCAGTATTGTACAACCATGCACGGGCACAGCCATCCTGGTGGGCCTTTCTACTGTGCGCAACATGGAGATGCTTCCAAAAAATTGTATGTGAAGGTTTTCATTCATCCAGGTCATGATATACCTGTAAAAAAACAAATCAAAGCAACTGGACTTGCTGTATCTTGAAGACGTTTCACTGGTCATCCGACTAGCTTTCTGAATGCTGAATGAATTGAGAAAGCTAGTCAGCTGACCAGCGAAACATCTATAAGAAAAATACAGCAAGTACAGTTGCTTTGATTTATTTTTTACACATATTCCCATAAATTATTATTATATTTACAGTCATATGGTCTAGGAGCTTCCAAGATAAAAGTGAAAGCAAAGGAATTATTGCTGATTATTATTTTTATTTTTTTTTGCTGTTGAAAGTAAAATGATACTTTAAATCGGTAATGTACCATACTGATTCATGTAAATTACTTTATCTAATTAGTAGGGATGAGCAAAATGGAGTTTTAATTTCCCTGTAAAATATGTATGTAAAATGTATTTGACAAAATACATAGGAAAAGGTGAAATCAAGGTGGCTTTTGGTGGTTTGTAAGGGTTTCATGGGCTTTAAATGGCTCCCGAGTGTTTTGGAAGCTCTTTTTTAACTCTGCTAAACCTGTTCGTGTGCCCAAAATAAGTAATTGTTAGCCTCATTATTTTATGTTTTCTTCTTAAGTAAAAAAAAAAAAGCAACAAAGGCAAAATAAAACAAATAAACCAAGAGTACAAAAGTAACAAAATATAATACACATAAGAATTTTGTACACAATAAGAATTTTGTTAGCAGGGGGTCACTGTTTTTTGCCTTTTGCCATAGCTCTATTTAAGAAACTATAAGTTTTAAATCCTGATATACCACAACTCCACATGGGACTAACAAAAGAAAATGTTCTCCTCAATTTAATTATGATTTTTTTTTTGGTCCATATGTTGTCTTTCGCTTCTTTTTTAATTTTTTTCCCTAACCATTCATAAAAAAAAAGTTAATTTGTTAGGTCAGTTAAAGTGGAACTTTTCCTGCGTAAAACAAATTAATGAATCCTCATGCTAATGTACAAATTAGCCGACATGAAATCGCACCGGGTTTTAATCTTGTTTAGTGAGAGATTAATTCCTTGGCACGGTGCAGAGGGAGGTGTAGTATTCTGGGTCAGAGCGGTCATGTTACTGTGGATGGCACAAACCTTAAAATGGATAAAGTTGCATTATAATTCCAATCTGGACAATTAACCTTCAACCCGCATGCAAAATAAATAAATCTAATAAATAATATTTTAAAAAATACATAAAATGTTGATCTTGTGTACATGAACAGATGGACTGAATGTTAAGTTTTACTTGTATGTGAACTCTAACAGTATACTTCTTTTCGCTATATATGCCATAGAAAGCGTTTTGTTATATTTGTTCGATATGTGCAAAAAATATCTGTGGATCCTGCCAGAAATTCAAAGCTGTTTTGTGTATTGTACACACATCCTGTGTTATCTCAAGGAGAGTAATGGGCCCTCCCAGTTCTAATCTAGGGACCACAGAATCAGGGCCATCCTTATAATGAAGCAGACTAGGGTGGTTGCCTCAGACGACATCTCATTGGGTCACATGTAGGGCTGCAGCTAACGATTATTTTCATAATCGATTAGTTGGCCGATTATTAAGTTCGATTAATCGGATAAAAAAAAAAAAAGGCTCCAGTGATGGACTACTAGTTTGTGGTGAGATTGTAGTCCATCACGGGAGCAAGCTTGGCGCGGTGGAAGTAAAAAAAAAGAGTGTGGTGTGCAATATAGTACATAATACAGCGGCGCAGTGCAGAATATCAGCAGCTATAGAGGAATGTAGCAATAGTACATTATACTATAATGTACTATTGCTGGGATTTGTAGTCCTCTGGTGCTGGCGTTACTCTGCATTGCGCTGTATATAATGTATTATAGCTGGGATTTGTAGTCCTCTATAGCTGGTGGTATTCTCCATTGCGCTGTACAATACACATGGGGAGGTCATGTGACCCAATTTCCAGCCAGCTCTTAGCAACCTGTGGTGCTCTGGCTAGCATTCCTCCCAGCTCCTGGAGACCAGTGACATAAGTGAGCTTGGCAGGACGCCGGACAGAGGTGCTGTGTGAGCCCCTCCCACCAACACCCCCTTCCTGGACCTGCACCATTGGCACCCAGCACCCCGCCTCAGGTGGTGAAAATTGTAGGGACGCCCCTATACAGAATGATAATTCTTTATGTGAACATGGGAAAATGGGTGGGTCAGAAGTTTGGCAAGAGAAAACTGAGCAGGGCTGACACCACTCCACATAAATTATATGTTGTCAGCCCACAACAGGACTTAGGAGCTCAGTGTATGTCTGGCAGATCAACAGGTACAACGTGGTCTTTAAAGGCATAAAGCATGGAGAAATGTATATGTATTGCAGATATGTTTTTTTTTAACTCTGCCCTGACATTTCAACATAAAAATGTGTTAAAAGTATATTAATAGATATGCCCCATTTTATTTGTCCTGGTGACCATTGCCACAGGGACACAAAGGGAAGGTAAAGCTAACACTTTACAGGGGAAGAAAAATCTTCCAAGTGTCAGTGTGGGAGAAATGTCCGGTGTCGGTGGCCAGTTGGAGGAAAAGTTGCCTGGCATCAATATCTGGAGGAGAAAAAAAATGCTCTGATGTTGGTGGTCAGGGGGAGAAAAGATTCCCTGGCATTGTCAGTGGGGCAAAAAAAATTGTCTGGCACCAATAGGAGACAAATGCCTGGCATTGGAGGTCATTGGGAGGAAACAATGGTTTGGCACCAATGGGAAATAATGGTCTTGGTGTCGAAGGTCATTGGGTGGAAATAATAGTTTGGTGTCAATGGGAGATAATAATCTTGGTGTCGGAGGTCAGTGGGAGGAAACAATGGTTTGACGTCAATGGGAGATGATGATCTTGGTGTCAGAGGTCAGTGGGAGGAAATAATGGTTTGGCGTTGATGGGAGATGATGATCTTGGTGTTGGAGGTCAGTTGGAGTAAATAATGGTTTGGCATTGATGGGAGATGATGATCTTGGTGTTTAAGGTCAGTGAGAGGAAATAATGATTTGCCGTCAATGGGAGATAATGGTCTTGGTGTCAGGGGTCTGTGGGTGGAAACAATGGTTTGGTGTCAATGGGAGATAATGAACTTGGTTTCGGAGGTCAGTGGGAGGAAATAATTGTTAGGTGTCAATGGGAGATAATTAACTTGGTGTCGGAGGTCAGTGGGAGGAAACAATGATTTGGCATCAATGGGAGTTAATGGTTTTGGCGCCGAAGGTCAGTGGGAGGAAACAACGGATTGACGTCAATAGGAGATAATGATCTTGATGTCGGAGGTCAGTGGGAGGAAATAATGGTTTGACGTCAATGGGAGAAGAAAATCCTGGTGTCAGAGGTTAATGGGAGGAAACAATGGTTTGGCGTTAAAGGGAGATGATGATCTTGGTGTTGGAGGTCAGCGGGAGGAAAAATTGCCCAGGGTTGGTGGTCAGTGAGAGAAGAAAATTGTCAGTGCCCATCAGTATCTGTGTCTATGAGAGGCAGAATGCCATGACATTGGTGCTTAGTAGAGAATTGGTGTCGGTGGGGGACATGGTCCAGGGCTGAAACCTTGGGACAGTTTGGGATGATGTGGAAAATAATTAAATGCCCTGTTAGGTTTTTATTGCCCTCTGTGTCCCCAATGAGGAGAGACAACCTCATAAGTAGCAAAGGCGACCATTGTCCCCGGCACAGAAAATGAAAGTAGAGCCAAAATGTAACTTTTCTCTTCTCTGCCTGTTGCGTCTCTGTGAAGGAAAGTAAAGGGAAACCTCTCTGATGGGGACAGAGACAGCAGTAAAAACCTGAAAGAGTTTCTAACCCTTTGACTGAGGTCCTACTTCAAGCAGCAATGTTAATTTACAAACTTTTTGTATTCTTTTGGTGTGCTCCCATTAGGATGAATGAGAACACTTATTTCTGCAGGTGCCCTGAGGCTACTAGTACCAATAAATCTGTTTATTTCAGATCGTATGACTGTTCCTGTATACACTGCAGCCAAACAAAATGCAGTCTTAAAGTGTATGTAAACCCTAACAATGAACTCCTCTTATTTGCTCCCATGTGGTCTCTGTAAATATACCATTGAAAGCGTTTTGTTCAATAAGTGCTAAAGAAATACCTGTTGATCCTGCCAGAAATACATTGACCTGAAAATTTCCTGTAGTGAGCTGAAAACACAGTGCCCCTGCTGCACTGGAATACTAACCTGTGTTATCAGCCATGCCTGGGTTACCACTATAAACAACAGAACACCTCCCTCCGGTAGTCCAAATCAGGAGTGAGCAGCCTGGAGGTGGCAACGTTGTGGAGATAGATACAGTGCAGCGATCGAGCGTTGTCACCCCAGGACAGGAAATGTGTTAATGGCAGGATCACTAGATTGATATAAAGTAACAAATCTGAATAAAGGAAACTAATGCAGCCACCACATCTAAGGACGGCTGATCTGCAATATATGACATTTATGTTTTTTGGGTTTAGATACACTTTAATGAAGGGAAGGTGTCTGTGTTCCGTTGGGTAACGTCTTTGCCTCCTCTTTCAGACAGCATAGAAGATGATTTTGAGCTGTCGACGGTTTGCCATCGTCCGGAAGGGCTTGAACAGCTACAAGAACAAACCAAATTCACCAAAAAAGAACTTCAGGTTCTATACCGAGGCTTTAAAAATGTAAGTGGATTCGATAGAGGTCATGTGATGGGTTTGGTTACTGGTAATACTGTACAGTGTACCGGTGGATGGGAGCAATTATGATGCAAAGACGAGACCACCAAAAAATATGAAGGATGCTATTGCTGAGCTCTCCTTTAGAACATGCAGCTTCCTGGCTGTCAGTCGATCCAATAACTTCACTCTGCACTCTGACACAGACTGTCAAGTTCTGAAGACTGATAGGGCCCGTCCAGACTAGCCCCATTGGGCTGTGTTGGATAGTGTTGCCTAACCCAGTCCAAATTCATAGACAAGGCAATTCGCCTTATGTCCTGTTTCATCAGTTCACACCAGTGTAGTGTATTGTGCGCACTGAAAAAAACCAGGACATGTTGCATTGTAGCACAGCGCGTTCTGGCGTGCTATAACACGTCACATGACTGCTGCACATGGAGTTCAATGGAGTGTAAAGGTAAACAAATTTTAAGGTAGAATAATGGGAAAAAAAGCAAGCAGTGCAATGCATTTTAATAACATATCGAAGTGTATGTATTATGTCCACCTTAATGCACTGCCGCTGGTGTGAATGAGCCCGGAGTTGGGGTTTTAAACTAATGCACAGCTCCTGTATGATACCTAATACACACGCAGGGATATTGCTGTACTACAGTCACACCTGAGTCAGCAATAGCAGTCCAGCCTTCTAAAACTCTCCTCCAGTCCGGTCAGGGTGTTGAAGTGACGGCATCATCCTCAAAAGCGGGGTTCAGACTCCTTGGACTTCCTGACATTTATTGTGGATCTGAACTAAAAAAGTGAAGATCTGCAGTTATGAGGAGCATCTAGAAATGTTCATTGTGCCTAAGCTGCACCCAAAAGGATTTACCTATTGTCTGTCATTAGCAGAGCACTTCCTGGTATGCGAGTGCGCCGCCTAGGTCCTCCTCTGCCTCCAGCCTCATAGCTATATATCTACAGAATGAGATCTGAGGCTCTGCTACCCTTGACTGTTAGTCTCAGGAGATTTGGTGATGTCACTATATTGCTGCTCACTGTTCTCCTTGCTGGAGGCACTGACATGAGGAAGCAAAATCCTGCCTCTTCCAAGATGGCCGCCTCCGCACTGAGAAACAGAGCAGAAAAAGTCATGGTAAGTCAGTAATGGAGAAAGATCAGCTGCAGGGACACCACAAACAATACTGGTGACTTTGCCCTTGCCTGCCTTTTGTTTTTGGACACAGCTTCTTGAGTTCAGTTCCTTTTTAACCCCTTAATAACCAGTGACGTACATAGTACGTCATTGGCAGCGAGCCCGTTTTAAACAGACTCCCTCCGGGACTCTGTTTACAATTGTTGTCTATGGACTTTTTGGGGTACTGAATTTTGTCGCCGTTTCACATACACAATTTTTAACCTGGGCATGTTGGGTATCTATTTACTCGTTATAACCTCCTCATTTATAAAAAAAAAATGGGTATTATATTGTGTTTTGGGGCACTAAATGTAACCTGAGTGCATTTTTCACAACATTTTTGGGTTTGATAAAGAGTTGCTCTAATAACGTGCATAATAAAAATTTGCAACTGCCACCATTTAATTCTGCAGGTTCTTGGCTTCCAAGAGATATATAATGTTTGGGGGTTTGAAATAATTTTCAGGCCTTAAATTTTGGATTATAACATGTGTACAAAAAACGAAAAAAAGGCCTTGATAGCAGGGGCGTCCCGGGGTCGGGTGTCACTCGGTCTCTAGACCAGGTGACACCCTGCTGTGTCGTCATCGCGCATGCGCGACCATCTGCTTGATGCCTGCCAGCGGCCATCTTGCTGATGGACGCCGGCAGAGAGAGGAAGGGACCTTCACCCGCCGGGATGAGGTATGCCGCCGGGTCCCCTCCTCTCTCCTGACACTGTCGGGCTCTCGGTCCATGACCGAGTGCCTTACATTTTAGAGGGGGATGACACCAAAATGACTCAGTAATTTTGGTGTCACCCCTGCAATGGTGACACCCAGGCGCGGGCCGCAGCCCCTGCACCCTCTTTGTGACGCATTAACCCCTAAGGGTCCTTAAGGGGTTAATGCTAGGAGCAAGAAAATAGGGCACAACCTGCTCTTCTCTCAGCTTCCTACTCCTTGGGGGGGAAGGGGTCCAAGGACTGTCTCACCAGCCCGACCAAATCAGCAGGCTTGAGATTTACAATGTGACTTGGAGATTAGGGCTGCAGCAAATACGCAGTTTAAGACTTCTGAATGCACTTGTTGCCTGACCAGAGCAGTGACCTAAAATAAGTAAGCCAGGCACAGCCAAGCTCCTAGCATTTTCAGGAAAGCAGTATTGGCAGCCCACATATATTTCTTATTCAGGTGTCCTTTACACATGCAAGCTCTGTCCTTCACACAGTTGGCAGCATTCTTATTTTGGCAGTTCCACAGATGGGGAATGCTTGGAGTGTTGGGGAGTTGGATCATTATTTATTAAGGTGGTTTGCAATGACCCCTCCGTCAACTTCTAAGGTCCTCTGTTTGAATTTTCCTCTCTGCCCACTACTGAATTTTAACAAGCACCAAACAAAGCTCAGATTTCAGACTAACTGACACTGAGCGGTGGTGGAAGGTCCCTAAAGCTCGATGAAATGGCCTACATTTTAATTATACATAATGAAGGTGTCTCAGCCTCTGATTCATTATTTAGATAAAGAATGAGGTCAGACTTTGACTTTGATCCTTCTTTCCCTACTTAATAGCGTGGTACAAAATGCCGGCTTAGAATGACAACTGGAACAGACCATACAACATCTATATACTAATTGGCCAAAAGTATGTGGACATCCTCCAAATTTATGAGTTCAGGTGTTTCCAGTGAAGTGTCCTGTTAATATTACAGCATACAAATACAATTTTAGACAATTGTTCATGTCCAACCTTAGTTAAGACCCTTTTCTCTTCCTGTATGACTGCCCCCTGTGCACAAAGTCAGCTCCATAAAGACATGGTTTGACCCATTTGGTGTGGCGGAACTTGAGTGTCCTGCACCGACCTCAACCCTACTGAACACCTTTGGGATGAATTTGAACACCAATCCATTATGAGCCAGGTCTTCTCATCCAACATCAGTACCTGACCTTAAAAAAATGCTCTTTTGGCTGAATGGGCACAAATTCCAACAGACACTCCAAAATCTTGTGGAAAGCCTTCTCAGAATAGTGGAGGATGCCTGCATAGACCTCAACTCTATGGAACACCGTTACGATGAATTGAATCAATGATTGCAAGCCATGCTTTAATGAACCCAGGTCTTCTCATCAAACAACAGTAACTGACCTCACGCATGATCTTTTGGCTGAATGTGCACACATTTGACCCAGACAATCTCCAAAATCTTGTGGAACGCTTTTCTCAGAACAGTAGAGTTTATTAGAGCCTCAAAGAAGAGGAGAAGGACTCCATATTAACGCCCATGGTTTTGGAATGGGATGTCCAAAAAGCTTAAATAGATGTGATGGTCTGAGGTCCACAAATCTTTGGCCATATAGTGGTGCACTTACAGCAGCTATAGGTCGGTAGTCAGCTATGGACGTTTGATCCACTCATTCTTCGGTGCCACTGACAGTCAGTTCTGTTTCATTAGAGAATGTGAAAGTTGAACTTCAGTGATGAGTTGTGTGTTGCAGAAGCTCTGACAGTACCTTCTCTATAAAAGTTGCCTGGATTGCATTGCTGCCAACACTCCTGTATAAGTATAAGCAAAGCTGCATGCATGTTTATACAATATTAATGGCAGCACTCCTACAACACACCCCGGGTCCCCGCTGTCACTTTTAAAGCCAGGTCCAGGGTCTTTGCTGCAGGAGGGCTGACAATGGCTCCTGCATAAACAAAGCCTGCAGGCAATCACTGTTTCCAGGCTTTGCTTATCAATACATTGTAACAATATTAATTATTATTAATTTGTATATATTCCTTTTATGTGCTGATTGAAATCATTTACATTCAAATGGTCAGCATTTAATGGCACACCGTGCATAGTGATTGAGCAAAAAAGAATAAAAAAGGTTTAATTCAGAGCACCTGGGCATTGCTTGGGGTGTGGCCTGCATTCTCCCTCCTTTCCCAAAAGAAAGCATGAGCACTGTCACACTGAGTGGGGTGAGTGTTTGGTCCCTGTGTATACTCGATTTGCTCTGGGGAACTCAAATGGCACGCTGTGTATAGTAATTGAGCAAAAACAACAACGAAAGTCTTATGCAGTGTAACAAGGCATTGCTTGGGGTGTGGGCTGCATATTCCATCCTTTCCTAGTAGCACGCATCAGCACTGTAATATGGGGTGAGACTATTTTCCCTCCTTTCCCAATAGCAAGCATTAGCCTTGTTACATGGGGTGAGGTGAATGTTCGTAGCCCCAGTGTACACTCTACTTGCTCTAGGAATCTCAAATGGCACGCTGTGTATATTAACTGGGCAAAAAAGTCTTATGCAGTGTAACAGGGAATTTATTGGGTTGTGTCCCGCATTCTCCATCATTTCCTAATAGCAAGCATCAACCCTGTCACATGGGGTGAGATTATTCTCCCTCCTTTTCCAATAGCAAGCATCATCCCTGTCACATGGGGTGAGATTATTCTCCCTCCTTTCCCAATAGCAAGCATCAGCCCTGTCACATGGGGTGAGTGTTCATAGCCCCTATGTAAGCTCAACTTTCTCTCGGAATCTCAAATGGGGCATGAGAGATTGGTGAGTACATGCTGCTTATGCTCCATAAAATAAAGTGATATAGGAGTTTGCATGTTCCCCTGGTGCTTGTGTGGGTTTCCTCCGGGTAGTCCGATTTCCTCCCACACTCCAAAGACATGCTGGAAGGTTAATTGGCTCCTCTCTAAATTGGCCCTGTATGTGTGTACAATAGGGACTGTAGATTGTAAGCTCCTCTAGGGCAGGGACTGATGTGAATGTCCACTATGTAAAGCGATGTGTAAATTGTCTGCACAATATAAATACCTATAATTAAATAGTCCATTGATCAAAGTATATGTTTGCTTTAAAGAACCTGCAGGGTGGGACTGCTGGGAAATAATCTGTGTCTATTAACCTGTTCAGTGTGCAGTGTTTATAGTCTGCTCGTAGAGACACATATTCTAATTTCTTCTCACAGGAGTGTCCCACCGGCCTAGTCAATGAAGATAACTTCAAACAAATCTACTCACAATTCTTTCCACAGGGAGGTAAGACGTGACCGTTATTATTAATATTGATCATTATTATCATAGCTATAATTGTGCATAATGACTGAAGGCGGAACTAAACTCACCTCCAATCATTCCCTCACCGGGAACCGTGATAGGTTGTCACCTGTGCAATAAGTCCATCAGTGACATTTCCTGGCTACTAAATATTCCGCGGTCGCCTGTTAGCGGGATTATATAGTATCAGTATTGGTGCATCCCTACTGGTTATGATAAACATATTATGTTGATTGGAGCAATATTTATTCCCAGAGAAGTCATTCTGAATTGAGAAAGCTGGTCGGATGATCAGCAAAACATCTTCAAGTAAAACACAGCAAATCCGGTTGCCTTGATCTATTTTTTACAGATATACCATGACCTGGATGAATGAGAACCTTCACAGACATTTTACATAACTCCTCCCAAGAGTCAGCCCACTTCCTGAGGTCTCTTGAGAGGAGTACTGTGACGGCCGGCCCCTCCCACCAGGCATTGATTAGAGAAGCACAGAGTGTTGATATCACTGTGATAAAGCGTGTTGATGAGAGGGAAAGGGAAGAACCAGGGAGGCCAAAATATAAGCAGATTTAACTTCAGCTTTAATGATGATTTTGTTTTTCATACAAGAATCTATTTGCTGACTCTTCACTCCCTCTGGTCACCTTTGTGTTGCAGATTCCAGCATGTACGCACATTTTCTCTTCAACGCATTTGACACCGACCACAGCGGCTCCGTCAATTTTGAGGTGAGAGCTCCTAAGTCTGAAAAACACTCCAAGCCAAGAATGGTCAGTATGTGAAATGACCACATTGTATCCGCACGTCAGAAAAAAGAGACTTTTGTGTTTTTGTGCAGAGAAAGATGAATTCTGATTGGCCATTCTAGGTGATTTAAAGCAAAGCTCCGGGCAAAACTATTATTAACCCTTGCGGGAGGGGGGGTACCCCGGCACTGATGCAGGGGGGGAGGGGCTACCCCAGATTGATGGTTATTTTGTATTCCTTCCATTTGCAGTTGTTTCCTTCTCACCAAGCTTCTTGCTGATAGTCTTGTAGCCCATTCCAGCCTTGTGCGGGTCTACAGTGTTGTCCCTAACGTCCTGTGACAGCTCTTTGGTCTTGCCCATGGTGGTGAGGTTTGAATGGAAAAAAAGAGATTCTGTGGACAGGTTTCTTTTATATGCTTCACGAGTTGTCATTAGGAGCACCTTCTTAAAGTGACAGGACTCATCTGTGTACCACATAGCCAGTCTGTGGGAGGTGCCAGAATGATTTTTGGTTGGTAGGGGATCAAATACTTCTTATACTCACTGAACTGCAACTCAATTTATAACATTTGTATCGTGTTTTCTCTGGATTTTTGGTTGATATTCTGTCTCTATCATTTAATATACACCTATGATAAAAATGATAGACCTTTCATTTCTTTGTAAGTGGGCAAACTTACCAAATCTGCAGGGGATCAAATCATTATTTTCCTCACTGTACTAATGTCCTACTGTGACCCAAAATTCAGCATATAGCGGGCTATTGTCTGCTATATGCTGTCATCACAGAGCTGCAGCTGGGACGGATCCTGACAATATTGTCGGGATCCACCCTGCTCCCTGATTGACAGCTGACTCTGCCTCTCTAGAGCCAGCTGTGCCCGCCTCCTCCCCTGTCTGTACCTCCAGTCAGCGCTGGAGGATCGGAGAGGGAAGGGGCGGAATCCCTGTGGTGAGTGATGGCTGACAGTCAGTCACCGCTCTCTGCACTCTGCAGGGAGATGATCGGGAACTGAGCGATCAGCAGTATGTGATCGCTCAACTCTCGATCAATAGAGCCGACGTGGGACAGCTTCAGTGACACACATCAGCTCTATCTATGGGGATGAGTGTATTTCACTCTCCTCATAATTCCTCCTCCTTTAAACTTCAATATTCTTGGGATAACAGGGATTTGATATTTCTTACATGTTTCTCATTCACTTCGCATATATATATATATTTTTTTTTTTCATTGCTGCTTGCTCAATACTAAACATGTGCGATTCGTTTTGTTCCGAATCGAAATTCGGACGAAATTTCAGAAATTCGTAGATTCGGAGCATCTGAATTTCCGAAATATAACATATCCGAAACCATCCGAATCCGACATTTCGGATTTGGAACCAATTTCGTCCAAATCCTGTGCGTGCACTGTGAACATTTAAACGGATAAAAACAAATTAAGAAAAGTATTTTAATGTCCCTTTTTAATAGTAAAGACGAGAGCACAGCAACCAGAAATTAATTTTCGGTAATTCATACGAATACGAATCCCGAATCAGATCCGAATACGAATCCGATTCCCGAAACGAAACACATATAGGATCCGAATTCCAAAAACGAAATCCGAAACTAAACGAAACAAATGTTTAGCCGCTGCACATGTCTACTCAATACATGTTCTATTCTAAAAGAAAAGTTGTTCTCTGTACTGAGTTGGGTTCTGGAATGCAAGAGGGGATGGACAGGTTAATGGTAACATAATTATGATTATTATTCTTATACAGGATTTATTTTGCGCCAAAAGCTTGTGCAGCACTTTACAACATGGAGGGAGACAGTACAGTTGCAATTCAATTTCAATATACCGTGTTTCCCCGAAAATAAGACACTGTCTTATATTGTTTTTGCCCCCAAAAAGCACACTAGGTCTTATTTTCAGGGGATGGCTTTTTTTTTTTAATGTGCAACAAAATGTACAACTAACCAAAGTTATCTGGTGTCACTCCGCCTGTCACAGTAACTGGCGCTATAGAGTAAGTATCAGCTAATGCGGCTCATCTCCCTCCGCCACCGCAGCCTTGCTTTCTACAGCGCCGGCTTCCTTTGTCATCAGAGACAGCGGTGCAGCAGTGGGGACATCAGACAGTGGACAGCGCGGTAAAGTACAGTACCATTTACCGGTACACATTATAGTACAGTACCTATTACATTAAGCAGTGCCTTCAGGGGGACAGCAGTTAGTGAAGTATGGTACTGGAGTGCTCCCTGTCACTGTGCTGGCCGGAGGGAGTCCCCTGTCATCCCCAGGCCCGGATTTCCCACAAGGCCACCGAGGCCCGGCCTCGGGGCGGCAGCGGTGACCGTGTGGGGAAGTTGCGGGCGCCGGTGTAAGGTGTCCGGCGGCCGCACACTACGCTCTGCCGCCGTCCAATCACGACAGGGCGGCCCGAGGCTCCGCCCACCGGCTCCGTATTGTGGAACCTGGCCTTGGGGCGGCAGGGGGAGTAAATCCGGCCCTGGTCATCCCCTTAATACAGTATGTCCCTGCAGGCTGATACCATCTCTCCTGCTCTTCAAGTTCCCTCTCACATGCTACCACCAAACTAGGTCTTATTTTCGGGGTAGGTCTTATATTACAGGAATCTTAAAAAATAGTGCTAGGTCTTACTTTCGGGGTAGGTCTTACTTTCGGGGAAACAGGGTAGGAGGGACCTGCTCGTGAGAGCTTACAATCTAGTAGGAGGGATAATGAACCCTGTCTGTTCTGTGCCGCTAGTTCTCATAATCATTTGTAAACTAGATTTGAACACTGATTGCCCCCTTATTCAGAAAGATAAAAAGCAATATATATAATTTAATTACCTAGAAACGGCCAATCAGAATTCACCTTTCCCTGCAATTCTCTCCAGGTTGCTATGGGTTACTTTTATCGCATGTCGCTGATCTGTATTATTTCTCTTATAGGATTTTGTATCGGGATTGTCAATCATCTTACGAGGGAGCATAGACGACAAACTAAACTGGGCCTTTAATCTGTACGATTTAAACAAAGACGGCTGTATAACTAAAGAGGTGAGACCGAAAATTCCGACATGCATAAAATATGTGTACATACATTGATCAGCCGTAACATTATGACCACCTGCCTAATATTGAGTAGGTCCTCCCTTTGCCACCGAAACAACCCTGACCCATCAAGGCATGGGCTCCATTGGACCTCTGAAGGTGTGCTGTGATATCTGGCACCAAGCCGTCAGTAGCAGATCCTTTAAGTCCTGTAAGTTGCGAGGTGAGGCCTCTTTCACTCCCCACCTGCATCGATGAGCCTTGGCCGCCCATGACCCTGTCGCTGGTTCACCAGTTTTCCTTCCTTGCACCATATCTGCAAAAAAATAAATCAAGGCAAAGCATCCGACTAGCTTTCTCAATTCAGAATTCCTTGGACCACTATTGGTAGGTCCCGACCACTGCAGACCGGGAACATCCCACAACAGCAGCAGTTTTTGAGGTACTCTGACCCAGTCGTCTCGCCATCACAAGTTGGCCCTTGTCAAAGTCGATCAAATCCTTACGGTTGCCCATTATTCTGCTTCCAACACATCAACTTCAGGGACAAAATGTTGACTTGTTGCCTAATATATCCCCCCTACTTCCAGGTGCCATTGATATATTTCCCCCACACTTCCAGGTGCCATAGTAATATTTCCCCCCACTTCCAGGTGACATTGTAATATATCACCCCCACTTCCAGGTGCCATTGTAATATATCCCCCCCACTTCCAGGTGACGTGGTAATATATCCCTCCCACTTCCAGGTGCCATTGTAATATATCCCCCCCACTTCCAGGTGACGTGGTAATATATCCCCTCCACTTCCAGGTGCCATAGTAATATATCCCCCCACTTCCAGGTGCCATAGTAATATATCCCTCCCACACACTTCCAGATGCCATTGTAATGAGATCATTAGTGCTATTCTCTTCACGTGCCACTGGTCACAATTTTATGGCTGATCGGTGTATAATCTTATGAGAACATTTTTGTTGAAAAGAATAGTCTGGAGACAGGGTCTCTTTAAAGTAACACTGTTCACCCGCTTTGCTCATGACACTGAAAGTGTGCTGATCTCCCTCCAGCCAAGCTACACGCACCCACTGTGCCAGTCCTGGGCCCATGCAAGGGGCAGTGGGCTCCAGGATAGCTGGCTGCAGAGGGGGTACACTCTTTGGCAGCATAGAAGTGATGCCACCCAATCACTTGCATGTGAAAGCCGTCTGTGCCGGTTTATATACATATTGTGGTCCTAAAGTGAGGTAGGGGCCAGAAGAAGGAGCCGCAGTATGTGGTGGTGGACACAGATATCTGACGCTTACAGAAGTGCTGAATGCTGAAGATTCTGATGGAGTTCATGAAGAGAGTGTAGATCAGAGACACGGGCTGCCAGAGAGGTAAGTAGAAGACCTCTTCCCTTGCAAATGCTTTTGGAATTTTTTTTCAATGGTGACCACAGAGTCACTTTAACCCCAACCTCAACTAATTCTTTACCCTAGCCCCTAACACTAACCCTTAAGCCCAAGTTAAAAATGTTCAATGTCACGATGAAAAATACTACGTTATCACAAAGATATTTGGGCTCAGGGCTGGATTCCATCACCAAACCCTGGAGCCCAAAGCAGTTCTCCTTTGCTGGAACCACCTATTTTATACAGGTCATGTCCTTCCTATACTGATAGCCATGTAGGGAATGGGTGCCACCTAAAGGGTGGGCAGGTCTGCTGTGCCTAATGGAAAATCCACTGCATCTGGAACCAATCTACAGCATGCCACCCATCATTGGGCACCTAAAACTTGCTCTGAAATCACCATCACATGATTTGTTTAACTTTGCCCCACCTTCTGGACTAAAGCCATGGGGTTTTGAGAGGGAGAGATGTGGAGTTCTGCAGACCCACACCTGCTGGAATAAAGAGGCGCAGTTTTTAGTGAGGGGGCAGATAGAGGTCTATAGACCTATACACATATCAGCTGACATACTTATACATTTGATCACTTAAAGCGGACCATTACCCATATCTTTAAAACAAACAAACAACAAACACACCTTTAGAAATGTTTAGTAATGACGATCTACACACACATACTTCTAGATAATAACCGGCTTTGTATTCTTTGCATTCTTTATTTCTCTTTTCTTCCACAGTCTTCTGACAGTGGCCATGTTTACTAAGGGCAGATTACTAGCTCTCCTATTACTTCCTGGATTTCTGGCACATGTGACTAGACATGTGACCAGGCACATCATCTCAGGGAGGAAAATGCCTTTCCCTGAGATCTCGTTAGAATACAGATGAGATTTCCCAGCAATGCTCTGCTGATGACAAGGCAATCCCAGGGTGCATTGCGTTGGCAAACTGAAGTCATTTTGCCCTTTCAAAGCAGGAGTGAATTCTCTGCAAGTGTAAGTATTCCACAATCACAGCATTTTACACCTGACATGTCTATGTTATTATTAATCATCATACATAGAGGGATGCATTGGTAGAATTTGATTTTTTGAGTGTAAAGGTCAGCTTTAAGCTTAGGTTATTATGTTACTATTTATGTCATCCTCCTGCAGGAAATGATGGATATAATGAAATCCATATATGACATGATGGGCAAGTACACGTACCCGAATATGAGGGAAGACGCACCCATGGAGCATGTGGAGAACTTTTTTCAGGTGATTTTTCAGACCAAGACATCTCCATACTCTGCCTGTCACACTATGTGTTTAACACCTCCATCTTTCTTTCCTTTAGAAGATGGATAAAAATAAGGACGGCGTAGTTACAATCGAAGAGTTCATAGAATCATGTCAGAAGGTAATGTGGGCAATTTATGGGCTCCATACTGGAAAGATGTTCTTTGTGCATGCTTACCTGAACCTAATCATCTTCTTTGTGCTTGCAACTCCACTGCTCCGGTCGGCCACTGAGAGCAAAAAGAGGAAACCCTATGAAAGCTCCAAGTCACAACGCAACAGCAAATGAGGGAAATGTCCTCTTAGTTGTCACTGATATTGAATGGCATCTATTCATGAAGGAAAGAACAAATGTATGTAACTTACAGTTTGGAAGTCTGCAAATGTGTCAAGGATGGTGAACCAATAACCGATGTACTGAGGAAGTCCAAAGCCGAATGCTGCAGCAGTGGATAGATGAGGGGGATCACCAAACCACAGGCCAGGAGCTAGGACCATTCCACAGAAATGACACCACTAACAATAACAACATTAGGTTTATCACCACGTATAACAATAGTTTTAAAGCCATTCAAAATGTCATTAACAAAAACTGGCATATATTAAAAAAGGATCCTAGATTAGGCCCAATCCTACCCCCCAGACCCACCATCAATTTTAGAAGGTCAAGGAGCGTGAAAAATAGGATAGGACCCAGTCTTCTAACTCACAGATCGGACATCACATCAAAGAATTTTCTATTTGACGACAGGGTAGGAATCTTTCAATGTAAAAAACCGAGGTGCCTAACTTGCCAATTTATTCAACATGGTCAAACCAAATTCTTTGACCACCCCAAGAAACCATACTATATTAAACAATTCATCACATGCTCCCACGACCACGTGGTTTATGGACTGACTTGCCCCTGCGGACTTTTATACGTGGGCCGCACTATACGCCCATTACGAGCTAGAATTGGCGACCATAGACGTCTAATTCAGAAAGGTGATCTGGATCACAGTGTCCCCAGACATTTTACTTTGAAACATCACAAAAACACCCAGGATCTTCATGTTTTTGCCATTGAGCATATCTCTAACCACTTATCACCATCGGAACGGTTTCACTCTCTATGTAAAAGGGAGACGTTCTGGATCTACAAACTAAACTCCCTTTCACCAGTCGGCCTTAACGAGGAAATAGAGATTCACACTATATTATAAACTGTATAGCGTCACCCTTGTCATATGTCACATACCACGGTACTTAATTATTCTATCTGTCTGTTTTATAAGAGTGCATCCATATACCGGATATATTCATATACCGGATACACACACACAGATGCGTTCGCCCATGCGCAAATAGGCATTTGTTTTTAACTACATTTTTAACTAAATTTTAATTTTAATAAAATTTTAAAATTAATTGTAATACTAATGTTGATTTTATCCGTGGCCCGGCCTGGCCAGCCGTGCACGCGTGCCGCTAAGAAACTTCACAGCGCCCCCTCATCTATCCACTGCTGCAGCATTCGGCTTTGGACTTCCTCAGTACATTGGTTATTGGTTCACCATCCTTGACATATTTGCAGACTTCCAAACTGGAGGACTGTAATCATATGGCACTACTACTAAATAAATATAATGCCATGGGGGTCTACTACTATAGCCAAGTTATGTCAATATAATAATGTGTATAACATATATGCCTGAGGAAGAGGTCCTGCATGGCCTCGAAATGTTCCTTTTGTGATGTGATTGCACAATAAACGTTAGGACCATTGATTATGGATCCATATTGTGCTGGTGACTTATGTTCTTATCTGTAGTCAGCTTGACCTGTTAATTCCATGGATTCTATTTCTAGTTGTAGTGCAATCTAAGATTATAATTTAATAAGAAGATTACTTACCATTACCAAAGACAAATAGAGAGGGTGAATCCCCCTACCAGGATACAAACAATGGGTATTTCACTACAGTAGGCATGATGCCAATAGTCCAGCTTATTACATTATCAAATATGGTAACAATAAAGTGGCAGGCCACAGAATGTGTGGAGCCTGAGCATGTTGACTGTCCTCCTCTTATAGACTTGTTGGCCCTGGCTCCTCACTATCTTCTCATTTATGTGTGGACCATGTTAAGCCTGAGCATGTTGGCTGCTCCTCCCTCTTATAGACTTTATATTCTCATTCATGTATGGAAGGCATAGAGTCTGAGCGTGTTGACTGTTCCTCCCTCGTATAGACTGACTGGCCCTGGCTCCTCATTACCTTCTCATTTATGTATGGAAGGCATAGAGCCTGAACATGCTGGCTGCTCCTTCCTTTTATAAACTAGCTCCCCTTGCTTACTCACTATCATCTCATTTATGTATGGACCATGTAGAGCCTGAGCATGTTGGCTGCTCCTTCCTCTTAAAGCATAGACTGGCTTCGCCCTGGTTTCTCACTATCCTCCCATTTATGTATGGAACATGTGGAGTCTGAGCATGTTGGTTATCCCTCCCTCTTATAGGCTGGCTCATCTTGGTTATTCACTATCTTCTCATTTGTGTATGGTATATGTTGTTGTAGGTATAAGTTTCTTTCTTTTCTTATTTGTAATTTTATATATATATATATACACACACACACCCTGTTTCCCCGAAAATAAGACCTACCCTGAAAATAAGACCTAGTACTATTTTGGGGAATTGCTAATAAATAAGACCTACCCCGAAAATAAGACCTAGTTGTGACCATTCCCAGGGCCGGTGGTGGCATAAGGGGGAACTTGAAGAAAGGCGCTAGAGGAAGCAAGGCGGCAGCGGAGGGAGCAGAGCCGCATAAGCTTATGTTTCCTCTATGGCGCCGACTCCTGTCACAGGCGGAGTGATACCAAATGCACTCCGCCTGTGAGGAATCCATAGTGAAAGTGCGCTTTGCTCACCCTGGCCAGCGATTGGTTGGCAAATTGCTCTTGGAAAGGTACGGCACCCCTGATCACCATATTTCGTACATGAATAAGTTGGATTGTTGCACATTAAAAAAAAAATAAGACCTACCCCGAAAATAAGACCTAGTGTGTTTTTTTTTAGCCCAAAAAAATATAAGACGGTGTCTTATTTTTGGGGAAGCACGGTATAACGTAATTCAGTGTTGTGATGTATACGTGTATTGTGGGCTGATCTATCCAGTTGTATATTATATCTAATTGAAATTGGATTCAGCAATTGTTTTGTGTTTATCCAATTATGTAGACCCGGATATAGATTTGCATGGTGTTGACTATATTTGCCTTCGAAGTAATATATTTGAGAGATACCTGTACACTCTATAGCAAAAGGTTTGTAGAGTAGACACCTGTCCATCACACCTTTAAGTTGGACATCCCATTCCAAAACCATGGGAATAAATATGATGTTGCCTACTCTTCCCTTTTGGGCTATATCAGTATCAACTCTTCTAGGAAGGTATTCTGCAAGATTTTTGAGGCAATTTGTGCCGAATAATCCAAAAGAAAATTTGCGAGGACAGATATTAAAGTTGGATGAGAAGACCTGGCTTTCATTTAGAGTTCCAATTCATCCCAAAGGTGCTCAGTAGGGTTAAGGTCAGGGCTCTGTGCAGGATACTTCTGCACTAGACTGGTCAAACCATGTCTTTATGGAGCTAGCTTTGTGCACGGGGGCACAGTCATACTTGAGCAAAAAAGGGCCTTCACCAAAATGTTACTACAAGCTCACAGTTGTCTAAAATGGTTTTGTATGCTGTAGTATTAACAGGACCCTTCACTGAAATCACCTGAACATCATTTGGAGGGTTATCCACATTACCTGGGTTCCTCCACACCAAACTCATCAAATGCTTGTAGACACCTGACATTTACACCTATATGAATAGGCAATATATGAATAGGTGTAAATGTCAGGTGTCTACAAGCGTTTGTTTATTATGGTGTGGAGGAACTCGAGGACAGAGCCCTGACCTCAACTCTACTGAACACCTTTGGGATGAATTGGAATGCTGATGCCGAGCCAGACCTCCTGGTCTAACCTCACTACCTGATCTCACGAATGTTCTTTTGGTTGAATAGACACAAATTGCCACTCCAAACTCTTATGGAAAACCTTCCCAGGACAATAGAGGCTGTTATTGCTGCAAAAGGCTCTCGGAAGAGGGGGGTACTCAATATTAATGACCTTGGATCTGGAATGGGAGATCCAATGCACTCATATAGGTGTGATGGTCAGATGTCCACAACTCTTGGCCATGCAGAGACTGCATTCTTGTTTCGGACCAGTACTGAAGCTAGAGGGTCAGGCAATTGGTATTTCTAGAAGGAAATTTGCAGTGCGACTCGCCTTCTTTTTTTAGGTTTCTTTTACTGTACAATCATTCTTTACATTTTGTGCACAAAGCGCGGCTGGGTGTTCCATATTGTCATATTGTATATCGTTTTCCTTCTACAGGATGAAAACATTATGAGATCCATGCAGCTCTTCGACAACGTCATTTAGCAAAAGCTGCGGTCGTACGGATTTATCGAGATCACACTTTTGTATAGACATTCTTCTGGCTGCACAATTACAGAATAGTGTGTCTGATGCAAACTAAAATGCAATTATAATCTCTGTCCTATTTTACGGCTGTTGTAAACACTTTAAAAAACAACAAAAAAGGAGAGAACACAAAACGAACCCTTTCCCTCGAGGATTCCAAAGCTCCGGGTTTCCTGACGTTAGCACGCTGCCACCTACTGGATCCGTCCAGGACACACATTGGATTTCGCCTTGAACAGAAAAGATGTTATCGTCTGAAATGATGGCGGTTCGAGGACGATTTTATTTCTTTTTCAATTATCATGGGAACATTCTATAAACCTTTCTGCAGAGCTAAAAATGAACTTTTTGTCCAGAACCAGGAAAACATGACATCAATCTTCCTTTCTATATGAAACAACGAAATACCTAAGGGTCTGTCCACCCAAAATTGATGCCTTGCCTAGGGATGGTATCTGATGGGTTGAAAACCCCTGAATGGATCTTTGCACACCCCCCGGCTGCTTTCTTATTATTTAATCCATAAAAAATCCAGCAGGGAGCATGAGACTCTCTTGTAATGGGTGTGGCATTGGGGCGGAGCTGGGAACTCAGGTGCAGAGGTCTCTAAGCAGGACTCTCCAAGAGATATAAGGAATTAGCGGATCATTTAGCCTTCCATTAGCTGCATAAAACTGAGCTATTATGTATGGTAGGGTCTTAGTCAGACCAGCAGGAGGAAAGGCATGCAAAGTCACAGCATAGTCTGAGGCAGGGGTAGGCAACCTTGGCACGCCAGCTGCAGGGAAACCACAAATCCCATCATGCTTCTCCCACTGGGAGTCATGCCTCTGGCTGTCTGAACCTTGCAATACCTGCTCACATCTCCTGTGTACTTCCGCCCGTCTTCCAGTCTTCCCACACGTGGGAAAAATGGGAGTATAGAAAGGAAAGCATTGTCTGATATCTTACAATTGGCTAATCGGGCTCACGCCACATTGGGAATGGCCATAGCCAAAGTCATAGGATTGGAATGGCCATAGCCAAAGTCATGGGATTGGGAGTGTCCATAGCCAAACTCATGGGATTAATTGCCATAGTCAAACTCATGGTATTGGGAATGGCCATAGCCAAACTCATGAGACTGTTAATGACCATAGCTAAACTCATGGGTTTGGGAATGGCCATAGCCCAACTCATGGGACTGGCCATTGCCAAACTCATGGGATTGTTAATGGCCATAATCAAACTCATGGAATTGGGAATGGTCAAAGCCAAACTCATGGGACTGTTAATGACCATAGCCAATCTCATGGGTTTGTGAATGGCCATAGCCAAACTCATGGGACTGTTAATGACCATAGCTAAACTCATGGGGTTGTGAATGGCCAAACCCAAACTCATGGGACTGTTAATGACCATAGCCAAACTCATGGGATTGGGAATGACCATAGCCAAACTCATGGGATTGGGAATGACCATAGCCAAACTCATGGGTTGGATGCTGTCTTCCTACAGCACATTTACACACATGGATTATCAGACTGGAGAGACATATACCACATAATGCTGTATAGAAGGGGAAGGCAAACTGCGGACTTCCAGCTGTGGTGCAACACAAATCCAATGAGGTAGCACAAGACTCTGACAGCCACAAGTATGACTTCCAGAGGCAGATGCATTTTGGGATTTGTAGTTATACCACAGCTGGAGTTTGCCTACCCATGCTCTATAGGAATCCTGAATTTATGACTCTCGGCAACACAAGCATTTCCCAGAGGGAGTCAGCGGGTCAGTGTGGCCTCTTGTATACGGCTCACAGTCCTCAATCAGTCATAACTCACTGCAGCACACACACGCCCTGAACCTACTCACAAATGTCAATCATGAACATGGCAGCTTCAATGGACTAAGAAGTTCAGTCATACCTACAGGCGGCAGCACTTAAAGTGGACCTGTCACCATATCCAACCCACCCCAATGCAAAGTAGGCTGCACGTACCCTCGCAGAGCACTTTAAGATGTTAACTCCAAGCTGTGCCAACAATTCCATCACTCTGAATATCATCTCATCAAGTCTGAATGTTGCGGTGCAGGAAGCTGATCTCAGTACAGATTCAGGTGCAGGAAGCTGATCTCAGTACAGATTCAGGTGCAGGAAGCTGATCTCAGTACAGATTCAGGTGCAGGAAGCTGATCTCAGTACAGATTCAGGATTGTCCAGAACCAGGAAAACATGACATCAATCTTCCTTTCTATATGAAACAACGAAATACCTAAGGGTCTGTCCACCCAAAATTGATGCCTTGCCTAGGGATGGTATCTGATGGGTTGAAAACCCCTGAATGGATCTTTGCACACCCCCCGGCTGCTTTCTTATTATTTAATCCATAAAAAATCCAGCAGGGAGCATGAGACTCTCTTGTAATGGGTGTGGCATTGGGGCGGAGCTGGGAACTCAGGTGCAGAGGTCTCTAAGCAGGACTCTCCAAGAGATATAAGGAATTAGCGGATCATTTAGCCTTCCATTAGCTGCATAAAACTGAGCTATTATGTATGGTAGGGTCTTAGTCAGACCAGCAGGAGGAAAGGCATGCAAAGTCACAGCATAGTCTGAGGCAGGGGTAGGCAACCTTGGCACGCCAGCTGCAGGGAAACCACAAATCCCATCATGCTTCTCCCACTGGGAGTCATGCCTCTGGCTGTCTGAACCTTGCAATACCTGCTCACATCTCCTGTGTACTTCCGCCCGTCTTCCAGTCTTCCCACACGTGGGAAAAATGGGAGTATAGAAAGGAAAGCATTGTCTGATATCTTACAATTGGCTAATCGGGCTCACGCCACATTGGGAATGGCCATAGCCAAAGTCATAGGATTGGAATGGCCATAGCCAAAGTCATGGGATTGGGAGTGTCCATAGCCAAACTCATGGGATTAATTGCCATAGTCAAACTCATGGTATTGGGAATGGCCATAGCCAAACTCATGAGACTGTTAATGACCATAGCTAAACTCATGGGTTTGGGAATGGCCATAGCCCAACTCATGGGACTGGCCATTGCCAAACTCATGGGATTGTTAATGGCCATAATCAAACTCATGGAATTGGGAATGGTCAAAGCCAAACTCATGGGACTGTTAATGACCATAGCCAATCTCATGGGTTTGTGAATGGCCATAGCCAAACTCATGGGACTGTTAATGACCATAGCTAAACTCATGGGGTTGTGAATGGCCAAACCCAAACTCATGGGACTGTTAATGACCATAGCCAAACTCATGGGATTGGGAATGACCATAGCCAAACTCATGGGATTGGGAATGACCATAGCCAAACTCATGGGTTGGATGCTGTCTTCCTACAGCACATTTACACACATGGATTATCAGACTGGAGAGACATATACCACATAATGCTGTATAGAAGGGGAAGGCAAACTGCGGACTTCCAGCTGTGGTGCAACACAAATCCAATGAGGTAGCACAAGACTCTGACAGCCACAAGTATGACTTCCAGAGGCAGATGCATTTTGGGATTTGTAGTTATACCACAGCTGGAGTTTGCCTACCCATGCTCTATAGGAATCCTGAATTTATGACTCTCGGCAACACAAGCATTTCCCAGAGGGAGTCAGCGGGTCAGTGTGGCCTCTTGTATACGGCTCACAGTCCTCAATCAGTCATAACTCACTGCAGCACACACACGCCCTGAACCTACTCACAAATGTCAATCATGAACATGGCAGCTTCAATGGACTAAGAAGTTCAGTCATACCTACAGGCGGCAGCACTTAAAGTGGACCTGTCACCATATCCAACCCACCCCAATGCAAAGTAGGCTGCACGTACCCTCGCAGAGCACTTTAAGATGTTAACTCCAAGCTGTGCCAACAATTCCATCACTCTGAATATCATCTCATCAAGTCTGAATGTTGCGGTGCAGGAAGCTGATCTCAGTACAGATTCAGGTGCAGGAAGCTGATCTCAGTACAGATTCAGGTGCAGGAAGCTGATCTCAGTACAGATTCAGGTGCAGGAAGCTGATCTCAGTACAGATTCAGGTGCAGGAAGCTGATCTCAGTACGGATTCAGGCGCAGGAAGCTGATCTCAGTACAGATTCAGGCACAGGAAGCTGATCTCAGTACAGATTCAGGCGCAGGAAGCTGATCTCAGTACAGATTCAGGCGCAGGACGCTGATCTCAGTACAGATTCAGACGCAGGAAGATGAATCTCAGTACAGATTCAGGCGCAGGACGCTGATCTCAGTACAGATTCAGGCGCAGGACGCTGATCTCAGTACAGATTAAGGTGCAAGAAGCTGATCTCAGTACAGATTCAGGTGCAGGAAGCTGATCTCAGTACAGATTCAGGTGTAGGAAGCTGATCTCAGTACAGATTCAGGTGCAGGAAGCTGATCTCAGTACAGATTCAGGCGCAGCAAGCTGATCTCAGTACAGATTAGGGTGCAGGAAGATAATATCAATAGAGATTCAGGTGCAGGAAGCTGATCTCAGTACAGATTCAGGCGCAGGAAGCTGATCTCAGTACAGATTCAGGTGCAGTAAGCAGATCTCAGTACAGATTCAGGTGCAGGAAGCTGATCTCAGTACAGATTCAGGTGCGGGAAGCTGATCTCAGTACAGATTCAGGCGCAGGAAGCTGATCTCAGTACAGATTCAGGTGCGGGAAGCTGATCTCAGTACAGATTCAGGCGCAGGAAGCTGATCTCAGTACAGATTCAGGTGCGGGAAGCTGATCTCAGTACAGATTCAGGCGCAGGAAGCTGATCTCAGTACAGATTCAGGTGCGGGAAGCTGATCTCAGTACAGATTCAGGCGCAGGAAGCTGATCTCAGTACAGATTCAGGTGCGGGAAGCTGATCTCAGTACAGATTCAGGCGCAGGAAGCTGATCTCAGTACAGATTCAGGTGCGGGAAGCTGATCTCAGTACAGATTCAGGCGCAGGAAGCTGATCTCAGTACAGATTCAGGTGCGGGAAGCTGATCTCAGTACAGATTCAGGCGCAGGAAGCTGATCTCAGTACAGATTCAGGTGCGGGAAGCTGATCTCAGTACAGATTCAGGCGCAGGAAGCTGATCTCAGTACAGATTCAGGTGCGGGAAGCTGATCTCAGTACAGATTCAGG